ATCATGGAATACTGATGATGATATGATTTGAATCTGAACCAGTATGGATTTAACACCAAGTAAAAAAAAATTATTCTCCCAGAAAAGCAAGTAAAGGAAATGGTTGGGTAATGTTCTTTCCTGATTCTTCCCCCAGGAGGAAGCAGGAAGGGTTGCTTAAGCTGGCATGGGACAACATCTGGTCTCTGCGCTTTGTTCCGCAGACTAGTCATCTACTGTATGTAGGACTTGATCAATCAGCTAAAACCCTTGTGGAATCAGACAATCATGGATGAGAGAGAGAGAGAGAGAGAGAGGTGGAAGAAAGGAAAGATCTGAAAAGGAGAGAGAGAGAGAGACTGAGCATTTTATATACTGGAAGATGCCTCCAAGAGAGTATCCGAACTGAAGAAAACAGACAGACACATTTCCAATGACCCTAAACATTTTGCAGCCTACATCCGAAATGAAAAGCAATATGTACAGTAATCCCCAAGTGAGCCATGTTCACGTTTCCATCCCATGTCTCTGCGTGTCTAAGCACATCAAACTCTCATTCAGTCTTTTCATAAAAAGGTGATGGCCTCTTATCTATCTAGCCAAAGAAACCATATTATTTCTAAATGCCCCATTGACACGAATCATGATTTAGATCAGTGATGAACCAGTCTAGAATGGCTCATCAGGCTTGATCAGATACAGACTCAATCTGGGGCCTGTTTCATAAAAGAACACAAGTCTTACAGTTGGTCTTAACTTAAAGACCAAAATTTCTAGTCTACTTTTGAACCAAAAGGAATCTGTAGCAGTCCCCTGAAATAAAATATTGAGCCTGTTGAAAAATAAGAAGTCCACTTATAATAAAAAACTTATTTCCTTCTCTCTCTCTGTTTTTTAGAGAAAATGACAGCTACTGTTTAAAAAAAAATTCTTCTGAATGACTGCAAATTCCTACCAAATTGAAAGAGAAGAAAATTTCTGTTCAAAAGCTCTGACCAACTTTCGGTCTCAAAATCTTTTGTGTAACAGGTCGTAGGTCTTCATAAGACTGAAGACGGGTTATGAAAAATTTCATGTCAACACTCGTCAGTATTGCATCTTTTCGATCTAGCCACAGGGTGAACATATATTTTCCACTGCCCTTTGTCGTGCAGAGTGCTAATAATGATACAAAGTCTCAATCACATTCACATAATTATAAGCATAAAGCATGTATGTGTTGCATCCTATCTGGGAAAAAGAATGTCTTTGTCACAATCAAACATGATTCTTTCCCAATAATATGGGGTTTGATATAAAAAGGAATGAGTAATGCTGTATTGGAAGTTGAGATAGGCTGAAAATGAAATTTTTAGTGCAGACTTGGTTACAGACTTGAAACAAAAAATCTGAAATCCTGTTGGCCCTTTGAAAATGTCCATTTTGGAACTTCCAATATAAGTTTAAAATGTACATTTTTGACCTTTCAATCAGCAATTTCACAATACAATTTTTAAGACCACGCATTACACATTGCTAAATTTGGGAGGAAAAATACCTTGCTATCCCCAAAACTGACAACATAAGAAACTATGAAAAATTTCCAAATTATGTCTAAATACTAAGAATATCCCTCAAAAGGCATAACAGTCACCATATTTGATTGCCAAAAGACAGATTTTGACTTGCTGATGATGTTATTTAAAGAGAAATCTTTGGCACACGGCCAAACAGTTGCAAGACCTGTTACAATCAGTTTCAAGTTAAAAAACAAAACCAAGAAAAATACTATAATATTTAATGTGTCTGTGGTATGAGAGGGGTCTCTTGCCTTCATGGATGACAAAAAGAAACCAATGCCACAAAGACATTTAAAAATCCAGACAAAAAATTAATCTAATCAACAGATCGCAGTATTAACCCAGAAACCCTCAGAGCATACACGTTAAGGTCATAATTTCATTTTCAAAATCAATTCCATGACAGAGATTAGTCGATATGCAGCCAGAGAACCACAAATTGAATTTGCAAGATTAGAAGGTTAAAAAATTAATTCTACAAGTCGCCCTTCTCCAGTATCTACAGACAAGGGCATGCCAAGGTCCAATCATTCAATTGGCATAATGGTTACTTTTGGCCAAAATGATGCACATAGTCTTGTTAACAACTGGCAAAAAAGAGAAATATTTATTTTTGATGTCCAGGTTGAATATGTGAATAAAAGATACGAGTCTAAGTAAAGCATAAAGCTTTCTTTTGGAATTCCTCTCTCACACGTGTACACACACACATGCATGCATTGCCCCTTCTGCTCGCTCGCTCGCTCGCTCTT